GCTCTTATATATCTGTGTATCATCGGCATAGCACATCACAGAAGAGTTTTTCACAGAGCTACCGAAGTCTATAGTATAAATTAAGTACAACAAGGGCCCTAAAACTGAACCCTGAGGGACACCTGATGTTATATCAATCGGACTAGATATAGTGTTGTCTATCTATACTACTTGTTTACGATTTTAAAGATATGTTATAAAAAACATTAGAGGTACGTCTGAAAAACCAAAAAACCTCAATCTGGCACATAAAAGCTCATGATCCATTTTATCGAATGGCTTAGAATAATCTAATGATACAAGTGCTGAAGCATCTCCCTTATCAAGCGAAGCAATGATGTCATCTAAAACCCTTGCAGAAATAATGATAAACCTGATGTTTAATCAATTTCTCCAATATCTTCGATATAACAGGAATCAAAGTTATAGGTCTTAAGTCTGAGAGACATTTTGGATTTTTACATTTAGGCAAGAGCTTGACAAGAGATAGTTTCCAAGCATCAGGGAAATACCCAGCCTCCAGGCAACAGTTCAATAAATGCGTCAATGGTAGTAGTACTCGAGGCAAGCAATGCTTCAGCATTGAGACTGTTATACCATCCGAACCTGCTGCATTAGATTTTAGGAACAGAATAATGTCTAGCATATTTTGTGGGGTAGCAAAACTAAATTCAAATCTAGCACTTTCATTAATTTTGGTACTATTAAATTTATCAACTAGATCCTTGCAATTGCCCGAAGGCGTGAAAACGGAAGAAAAATAAGTGTTTACTTCATCGGCATTTTTCAACTGCGTAGGTAAAAATCTATCTACATTAGTTTTGAGTTTCAATGAATGTACAGCTTTCCAGAGATGCTTGTTACTATTTAGTTGTCCATTGAAGCTTAGATATGCTGCTTTCTCCCGCCTAATAGCGGAAATGACATCATTTCTTTATCTCTCTCAGAGATCAAAAATTGTATGCCACCTGTGAGCCATGGAGCATAAGGTTTAGTGATACGTGCTGAAACAACAGGAGCATGGACATCAAACAAATCCAAAATATGATTAGAAAAAAACGTAGCTTTATCCTCTAAGTTACTGATGTAGTATATATCATCCCATGGGATTTTATACAAAAAACTGATCTTTACAACAATGTTTAAAGTCTCTATATTTGACAGTCTTTTGAAAATTCTTATGTACTTTGAACATCTGCATACCCGCTTAGTTGAATAGGCGGTCGATTTATCGGTAGCAGGTGAAAAAGTAAGCAAAAATAAATTAACTTAAATATACTATATATACTTTGTAAAACATTATTACAAGGTAATGTCCAGCACTTCGGGAAGTGTCCCGTCGGCCATAAATCCCGCCGGATGCTTTAAAGCAAGATGTACCGCTATAAACTGACTTTTCTCTATCTTGTTTGTATTACGGTTGATTAAAAAAGTTTCATGTGAAAGGTATATGGTCTAATATAAAGTTGGTCATGCAAGGTTTTTTGTAGGTATATAGAATGTCTCAGAAAAGTCCCTCCGAATAAAGCTGTATTTTTCCAAACAGGACATTTTACTTGATAGCAATGACCAGGTACCCTGTATATAAATAGATAAAATAAAAAATGAGTTTTTAAACACAAGCTTTTATTTAGCTATTATTAAAATAAACTAAAAATTTTAAATTTTTTTTTTCAATTGGATGTATTCAAGCGATTTTTCATCTCAAGTCAAACAAAAGCGTGTCTACTGTCAGTAACATGCTTTTATTTGATAACTTGAGCTTCATTATCGCTAAAATTTCCAGTCCGCAAAAAACATGTTTATTTAACTAACAGCTAAGTAAAAGGTTTGAATATGATACATACCTATGTATATCATATGGGTGACTATATAAACGCTATCTTAGGGCGGTCGCCATATTGGATTTAGTATGACGTCACTTTACTTATTACGTTGCGCTCCCATCAAGTCCTTTCATTTGATATCCATAATGTAGGAGATACTTTGAAAAATATAAATCGCCATTTTGCGGTGGCCGCCATATTGGATATAGCATGGTATCACTTTGCTTATTGTGTTTCTTTCATCAAACCCTTTTATCTGATACCCATGTCATTGAGGAGACTGTGAAAAATGTAAATCGCTATTTTGTGGCATCCGTCATATTACATTCACAATGGCGATAGTTAATTGATATTGTATTGTCACGCAAACCAAAAGTAGGTACTAGCTTTCAGCTCGATTGCTTAAGGTTAACTGACTCAAAAGTAAGCTCAAGTTAAATAAAGGCTTGTAAAAACACTGCTTGAAAAGTTTTATATTAGATTGTATAACTTTTGTATAAAACATTTGTTACCTAAAGCTCACACAAAAAAATTGTTGGGAGGTAAATTTATAGCGGGACACCTTGCTTGAAGCCCCTCGCAGGAGTTATGGTCGGTATGAATTGTCGTGACAATGTTTTACAATATATTTGTTACCGGCAATCTGTATAATCCGGTATCCTATACAATACCTAAAACGTGTAGGTGAAGTATGAAATATGTATTATTTGTTTTATACTTTGCCTATGTATTCTATACAATACCGGATGCGCAGCCGGTAAATTATGTAAAAGACGAGAGCAAGGAACGGGTTGTACGTACCGACAGGCAGGCAATAAACGTGTTGCGTACTTGTAAGCAAAATAAGAATACAATATGTTACATATAGCCAGAATAATTTTTAATTTCACATTATTTTACTATGATTTTACTGTAGTAACAGAAAAGTGCTTTTTTGTACTCTTTACCCCTTAATAAAGTTGATTTTAAATAATATAACATCTATCATTTGCCCGTCATTTTATAGGTATGTCGGTTAATATTGATAAATTTAGACCTCTATCTATTTATTTTACACATTGCCGGTGGAACAGCAGGTACTCTATACAATCCCTAGGAATTGTACTAATTAGCTAGGTAAAGTATGTAAGGGATAATAATATTCATAATATTTCATACATTGCCTGGGCAACCCAGGTATTCTATACATTGCCTAGGTTTTGTATAGAATACCTAAATTGTACAGATTAAAGGTAACATATACATAAAAATCAGCCACCAGAATTTAGGTTAGTCCTGATACTACCAAATGTCTTTCAGAAAATATGTTGTGTGGAGCTCTGAGATCTTGGACGCCAGTCGGATTTGAATAGATTTTTTTACTGACCACTCCTTTGCTCCTAGGGTATCGATGTGGAGCAGTCTACCTGAACGTTTACCCACAGTCACAAAAAAGTTAACGTATGTAAATTCTACAGCTAATTAAATATCCAGTGGATCAAGATGAAAACAATAGCTGGAATATTTCCCAAAAGTTCTCTCTTCATTGTTATGGCATCCGCATTGGAAATTACAGATTCTACGAGCCCCTTCCTACTTCAGTTGACCCACTTCAAGATTTGTACCAAAATATGCCTTTATAAATTAAACATGACGAAACTATTTACTTCTAAAACAATTTATTTTCTCAAAAACATTTTAGATACACTCTAGTCGTAAAAAATACATATTTGAAATCACTTAGACCTATAACTAATAGAACATCTGAACAAATAAACAATGTGCGAATAAATGCGCGATGTTAACAAAGCAACAATTGAAAGATTGCGATTGGGTAACATCACCTTTATTTTTCATTACGGCTGAAATTCTTTGGTGTAAAACAATCCCATAGTTCTTGAAGCTTTTGTCTCAGTTGGGTGATTGTACGAGCAGGATGTTGTCGTAGAACATTTTCCAAAGTGGCACATTATTTTTTTCCATCCATTTTATAGCCTTTTTTGAGATATGGCACGCTGCACCATCTTGCTGAAACACAAAATCTTGGCCAGATGTCAAACATTCTTCCATCACTGGTAAAAGCGATTCTTCTAAAATTGCCAAATATTTGTTTGTATCCACATTTCCATCAATAAAATGAAGTTTTCCTACTCCTTTTGATGACATACTGCCCTTGACCATAAAGGATGCTGGAAATTTCACTTTTCTCTTCAGACAGTCAACATGGAATGCTTCACTTTTTTTGCGAATAACTCTACTGCAACTGTCACCAACACAAACTTCGAATCGGGCCTCGTCACTCCATTATATTGCACACCATTGTTGAGGTGTCCATTGTCTATATTCTTTAGCCGATTTTTCTTTTGCAGTGGAGTTAATAGTGGCTTTTCTTTGGCCTATAAACAAGTTGTGCAACTTTAGGGTTTTACTTTACTTTTTTATATAAGAAAACTTATCTTGCAAGTGCTAAATCCCAGTTTGTGGACCTCCCTATGAGTTGTCGTCCTCGAAATTCTCCTTCCAACAGCGTCACTCCATAGAGCACTTAATTTTAAATAATTGGCACGCCTGTTCTTCACGATTATTCTTCTTAATGCTCTTCGGTCGGCATTTGTGATATTACTTTTTTTTCACATTTCGTGGCTTAACATTAACTGAACCAGTTACGTTATATCTTCTAACAATATTTCTCACACTGTACCGCGATAAGTCTAACAAAGTTGCAATTTCTGAGTTTGATTTCCCAGAATTAAAAAATTTAATTATCAGTAACCGAATTTTCTCACTAATAACCTTTCCTCTACCCATTTTGAAAACCTTAACTACCCAAAACTATTTTAAACGTATTCTGACAGCTGTGCTTTTATTTTTCACAGCCACCTATGCGTTATAGACTTATTTTGCATTGAAATGAAAATAGGTTGATATGCTGTAATTGCAACATGTATTATTTTTATGCTGCAAATTTGATTAGGGAGTGATAAAGTTGGTGTTTTCTACTATATATTATCAAAATATTCATTTGTTAATATTTTAAACACCCTGCTACATTTTTATTATTTGTGTTTGATAAGAAAAAAACTAAGATTTCAGTAGTTGAGCCAACTGAAGTGGGCTCGTAGTTGGTGATCCTTTCAAACAATTCAACAGTGTCAGGATTTCCAGAAATTTCATTAGATTTTTTTGATTTTTCAGCTCCAGAAACGCATTTTTAAAGAAACAACTAAAATGCATTTCTCATGTTAGAATTTACTTTGCAGTGAAGCTTTCGACAAAAGACATCAATACAAAATATTTAAATTGTAGTGAAATGCCATTTATTGCTCCAGTTTCCAACACATCCAATATGCCATACAAATAAAAATTTACATGTTTGTACTGTTTTTATTGTTATGCATCAGTTCGCATACAAATAGCAATCAACCCGTGATGCACGATTCACGGATTTTATGCAATATTAGTCGTATTTATTATGAGCTCAAATGCACGGAAATAAAATGTATACATATGTCAGGCTTTATCAGTAATTCAGCAAAAAATATCTGATTAGCAAAAAACAATATATCAGCATAGCACAATTTGATGCAGTTGTCAGGGTTTTCTCCATCTCTAGAAAATTGTTGTATAATTTAGAGATCAATTGACTTACCTTAAGGAAAATCGGAATTATATGAGTATTGCCGTTCGAAGAATTACAATAATTACACTTGCAACTACAAGTGTAATTATTGTAATTTGAGAACGGCAATACGAAATATAATAGATTGTTAGCATGCTTTTTGCATGGATGATGCAGTATTACTCTCTTCTTTACTTCCTTCGCTACTGTGAGAAAAGTATGTTTGTCGGCCTGTCTATCCGACCACTAATCATTGCACCCACTATACCTTGGAAAGAACCGGTCGGATTTTGATGAAATCCATGAAATATACTACTATGCCAAGGAAAAAAGTCTGCTGGTTTTGAAAATCGTCCCAGCATCAGCGGCGGCGAAGCTAGGCACAGAAATTAAAAAATAAAAATCGCTTCGTCATTTGATGTTTCAGAGGCTGCTGATGATTTTCAGAAAAAAAATGAAGGGTTGAAAACTGGGGCCTGAGGCTTGTTGGGGGTAGGAGGTTGTGAATGTTCCATCTTTAGTATCAGTGAAACACGTTTTATTATTCAGAAATCTGTTATCCCGGTGGAATCACTCACCTCTTAGGCCCGAATCGTCAGTCGTCCCTACAATTGTAGGGCGCCTTTATGGCCTCCTTGATTGTCATAGTTTTCTGCTTCTCCGTGTCAGCGCTCTATTTTGAGGTTATGTCACAAACATCTACTTGCATCAAATTGTGCTTGCTTTTGAGTTGTATCATGTTTTATCAGCCTGAAATTTCCTACAATTTAAAAAGAAAACATATCTTCACAATAGGAGAGCGCTGACGCTGACACGGGACAAGTGTAATCTAGAAATTTTTGAAGGAGAGAAAGGAGTATGACAATCAAGGAGGCCATAAACGCGCCCTACAATTGTAGGGACGACTGACGATACGGGCCTTAGACACAATATCACACATATTTCGCATAATATTTACGTCTGTGACACAGCAACTCCTGCCACCCAGGAACGCGCAATAAGTTCTAAGCGCGGAAGGTTTGATCCGAATTCAGCAACGCCGACAGTGTCTAAAGCCGCGTACAGACCGAGATTCCAACGCAAGCCAAGGCACATGTGGTTACAGATTTGGAGGTGCTCCAATCGGTGTGAACGGCGCGAACCAACATAAGCCAATGGTTCCCAACGTCGGCGTTGGCGTTCGATTGCGTTCGCTCCTTGATCGGTACATCAAAGGGAGGTTTGATTTGGTCTGGACACGATTTGTTGCGCGTCTAGTATTTAGTCGTGTGTCTGTAGCACCGAACTTAACCCAACGCGGTCCAACACGAAACTAAATTTAGGTGTAGACGACGTGTAGACGAGCGCATTCGAATACCTTCCAACAACAAACGCCAACGTCACATGTGCTTGCATTGGTTTGTTCGGCGTTGGATTTTCGGTCTGTACGCGGCTTAAGCCGCAGCGTAATCGAGGTTGTCGACGTCACGGGATGATGTAGTGATACCAGAGCGTACGAAAATTGTCCAGATATCTTGCACCGTGTAGCCAGAACCGGTTATTTGAAAAAAAAACTAAAAATTCAAATATATTCTATAATATCACCGACCTATGTGACGACGTTAGTTGATGCTTTGTAAACACGAGGTTTTCTGATAGAAACCACAAATATGTCTGCTGGCTCTTGTTGGTGGCTTCTAGTTGTATTTTCCGTTACATCCTTGTTTCCCTTCAGGCTACACCCGTATCCAGATGTGATAAGCATATGTTTTCACTTCGGTGTTATCGGTCCAAATCCATTTGGGCCTGATGAAGCCAATAAGTAGAAACATACGTCGCTCGGGATACTAATCCTTCTACTTCTGCTCCTAGTCCTTTATTGCGGACATGCCCACGAGTGCCCTTTTTTGCATCTACGTTTCCGCAAAACTATTTGTTCTTATTTGTATTGAAATCCCCTGCATTCTCGGTCATTAGAGGATTGATTTCTATCAAGTCATTTTTGGCTCGAGATCAGTATTTAAATAAAACTTGATTTTTTTAACAAACGGTCACGAATTACTTATAGTAATAATAATCAAATCATCTTCATAAAACAAAATTACTTATTCAAATGCACAGTTTCCATTTATTTATGTAAACTATGTTTTTATAGCACACTATTAATGAATAAGGAAGTCAACCACTATTTATTATAATACGAGTAGTTAAAAAGGAACTCAAATTGCTGCCTTCTCATTTCCCAGAATACTTCGAAGCTTAGAGCACATCAAATATAGAAAAAATCCTTGCAGAGGAAGCCACAGCTGTTAACAACTGGCAGAAGATACGCGTTAGTTGATCAAGCTCATATGCTGCACAACTGTGCTTTATTATTTCTCCTGCAAATATTACTTGTCTGAATGGATCTCTCTTGGCTTTATATCTAATTATTAGAAACAGCAATCCTTGTTCCTGGATACTCATTTTGAGTTCCGAAAATTCTCACTGATGTAACTAATATTTAACCCTTATGCGTGAATTTAATTCAACACTCCAAGTGACAACATTTTCGTTCAACTGCAAATGCATTGCATCGAAAGCCAGCTGGAGAGTTGCTAACGCATAAATAATAGTTTTGTTAGGGGGTTGTCTGTCCGTAAAGTCAAACTCTATCTTTTATAGTCACATTTATAACATATAATATATTATATACTGCAATAGTACCCCGCCAGTAGGCGTGGGAAGTGAAAAAATCATGGTTTATTTGTAATAACAATAATAATCATAAATACGCAGAGGTCAGTCATAGCAGATATTTACATTGTTGCCCGTTATTTTGTGACTCTTCTCTGTTCATTGTTCAGAGCTCAGTTTATTATGATCTTGCGATAAATCTGGTATACGAAACAAATAACTATCTGATAATTTTAAGGCCTCTAGGAAATTCTACTTTTTTCAAATAACGGAGGTTTGGCAATATCAATGTATAAAATATTATACACTTTTGGAATCAGAATTAAAAACCCCATATACCTGTGCAAAAATCCAATATGGCGTCAATAAGGAAAAATAAAGTTGATGCTGGGGGACAAGAGATGAAACGTCATATTGAAATTCTAATCATGCCATTTTGCATAGGAGTAAAAGTGCCAATGTTAAATGAGCAATTTATTTTGAAATTCCCCTACGAATAAAATCAGGATGAAATCAAAACGATTTTGTGAACATTCGGTTTTTTCCGTCTCTTCCCAGAAGTACTTAGAATTTCAAAGCGTTCTAAGCGTCATTTTGTGAATTACCTAAATATGCAACTTTGCTCACATTTAAGCGACTTCGTAACTCTTACAGTTTCCGAGATCCTGATGGTGAGGTTTAAATTTGGAATACCCGGTATATATTTTTTGGAGGAAAAACATTGACATACCCTCACAAATATTCTCACGTCACGTCATCCATAGCTTCAATGTTTCCATAATCGGCCCTCAAACTCGCTCCTTGATTCCTGTCGGGATAGTCCGGCATTAAGGCCATTATATGTTTTTTAGGCACAAGCAACTTGCATTAATGATGGCAAAATCTAAATATCGCGATATCAACAGTTATAAAGAAGAGAAGTAGAACCCATCAGTTTTTATATAATATATTGTAAGACAAGTTACGTCTAGATACTCCGACTACGAGACATTATTCGCTCTAATTGCTACACAGATCCACTCACATCAAAATCCAAATTAGTTTGTACACGAACACCCGATACAAAGATGCATCTCCTTCCTTATTTACATTCTACCATCGTCTCAGCAGCTGTTTCATCGCGTACAGAAAAAACAAACTCGTGACTTTCTTTGTGTTGCAGGCGGAGATGGCTGTGAACCCCTTCGTCGACGTTCGATTGTTCTGCGGTATCGGCGCGTCGCGGACAGTTGAAGATCGCCCTATCGACATTCACGGCTAATTGGATGGGAGGCAATTAGGGCACCAATAGTGATCGATTTTTGCACCAAGAACGACTTTGAAGAAAAGCAGCGAAGGAAGCAGCAAGCAACGCATAAGTAAGTGTATGTTATACAAATACAATTTCCTAAAAATTGAGAATTTCACTTTCCGTAACAGAAAGGCCAATGTGCAGTGAAACGGCAGTGAAAACGTAAAAGAAACTTTAAGAAAAGTTACATGCTGCAAGTGAATAGTAATGTTTGAAAGTGTCACCGTTCGATTCAGAAACACAAATTCAATAACTTTTTCTTGAAGCAACATTAATTTAGAGCAGTTAAAGTCTTCTACGGTGTCCACCTCAAAGGCCTTAGCAGGATATATACAAATCTACAGAATTCAAGACAGAAATATCCAGGAACGAGATCGGATTACACAGTTTTAATAGCACCTTGAACACACAGTAAACAAACACAGAATCGATAACTCCGATATTGCTATAGGAATATGCCAAATTCGGTTTTTTAAATCCGATTTGTTAGGTTAACCTACGCACTGCGCGGCGCATGATTTGTATACTGACACACGTGGTAACTTTTCGCGTTAGTTGCAGGGCCGACCTGGCCCATTCATTATATTTCTTCGAAAACTAATACCTCGGTTTTGGTGTATGAAAATGTGCTTACTGTTCCATGCCCAATACGCTCCGTAAAAGAAAGTGCTATCTTTAAGGATACCCTGTATATGCTAGTTAGTAAAGATGTGTTAGTATTTGCGTAACTGCTAGTTTGTCACGGTATTTTTTCTTCGTGTCGCGTCGCACTACACATCGTCCGAGTAACCGGTTACCAAGTACCTAACCATACTGTTACCCTTCGCCAAATAGATAATGTAAATGAGTAAACAAGACGTACCGTATCGCGATTACGCTAGCAGTTAACGCAAGGATTTCCAACGCTGTCCGGAAGTTTACGTTGTAATGGTTACTAATACCATGGGATGCATTGACTGACTGCGATTATCGCATCGGTACCTTCAGTACTGTATTTTGTATTGGTATTTGGTGCATAATGAAATACAGCTACTAGAAAATTATTTCTTGTGAATTTTCTCGTAGTTTATGATAAAGTTTTGTGCTGAACTTATTTCAAACGGATAAATACTGTAAGGATGTAGTTTCATGTCCATGCATAGCGATGTGTCTCATAAGTATTGGGTAGAATATAAGTTATCTTATAATGGCTTGCGTTATCTCCGTTTTAGGTTATTTCGTCAGATAAGAGTATTAACACTCTCGAAATAGCGTTAAGCATAGATAATGGAAGCAGTTATGACACCACTCATTTTAATTCATTCTTTAAAACACGTTTTATCTTATTGATAGTTACTGAATAACCCTTAGAAAAAAATGAGTGGATCATTGGTACGTGCAATCACTTTTGAGTTTTATGTGGCTCGAACAAATTTTCTAAATGTGTGAAACATTTTTTTGAATCACTTATTTTTAACAGTTGAACATATAATACAAAACAAACGTTGATATTCTATTCTATAAAAATATTAAGTACCTTGAAGTGAACAAAGAATAAAAACAGTATAAAATAAAAAAAATATGTAGCACTATAGTGGCAGCAGTTAAGGTTGTCTATACCTTCATACATGCGGCAACGGCAACGCTTAACAGTTATCGCCTCACGATCTTACCGATCTATCGCTAACCAGTTATAAGTAGCAGTTACATCGTTGCGGTATTTTCGTGTCGTGGAAAGTAACAGTATATCCCATCTCTATTAGTTGGACGAGGCGGAAACCTTGACTTCGTGCGAGGAATTTTACAGCACGATTTTCAAAACAGTTTATCGGGTGCGAAAAAAAAGTATTTTTGATTATTTTAAGAAATTAATCGTATTTGTAGTGTGTTACCGCCCGTCAACTTTTTGATTCATGTTAACCAACAGATATGATTTTGAAAAAATCAAGTGAATAAATGTCTGCCTCATCATCTAAGTCAAGAGAACCTTGAAGTGGAATTAAGCATTTGATGATTGGAACAAATCACGTGCAGCTAGAGTTGTCACTACTTGTGTTACATGCGTGATACAAGATTTGTACAGTCTAGCACATCATATTGCGTCTTTGCACAAAATCAAACGAATTTTTAAAAATGTTTGAGTATCCCCCCGCTTTCAAATTTCACCAACATCAAAGTAGGTCCCCTGATTTCGCTGGCCTGGGGAGCCACAAGCTCCAAGCTTCCAGTGTGCCACAGCTTAAAACGGCCTTGAGCACGTCCACCATTTTTACTTGCCACGCCACTAGCCAGGAAGTATAGTAAGTATTTCCGTTGGTCGGTCTGTCAGACGGCTAATCCTTGGCCCATATTACCAATACGCCAAGGACAAAAAATATCTGTAGTTTTTGAAAACCAGTTTAATGGTGGCGATTTTCAGACTCTCATTTATATCAATCAATTAATTTAAGAGAAATTGAAAATAACAGTATTAGAACGAATTTTAAAAATATCGAAAATCAAAAGCGGTTTTGAATACACAATATTTTAAACGCATTCAACTGAAAATGGAAAAAATATATCCAGTGAAACCGGGTTCCGAGGCTTTGATATTTTAATGTCTTGCAACCATCCACTAAATATTCTACACCACTTCATCAAACTTGGAGCTGTTTGGTTACAAACGCAAAAGCCACAATATATCTGAGGTTCCCTGTCACCTCCTCGCCTTTGTTATGTCTTTTTGATTTTTGTCATACATTTCAAAATCGATTGTTTCACGGTCCCATACTATATAATAGTCATTGATTGCAAGGACCTTTCAGTGATCATATACAATAGCTCTTCGTTTTCATTTTTTCATTACACTTGTATAACTCGCAAAACAATAAGATTTCCTAAGTGTATCGTGTATAGCACGCCTACTCAAATCTGTTCTAATGCAGCGGCAGTTCGGTCAGTGAACTGATATTGTACGCATGCTAAAAGTGAAAACGTACTCGTTCATTGTTGAAGTAGGTGAAACCTGGATTAATAGTAATTGATTAAATAAATTACAGTAATGTATTCTTGAATATGCCGATAGCAGTATGAAAAACGTGCTTTATCCTATTTGCACTGCTTAACATACGACAGACGTGTTGAATTCTTGGGGAATTAGTTTACCAGAATGGTAATTAATCTGAGCAGGATATAATAATTACTTGTTAATGCGATTTGCTCAATCTGTATTTTTCTTGTAATTTCACTTCTTTAATAAAAATATTTCCTTCTTTAAGACTAACTTGCTCTAAATTGAATCCTCTACCAATGCGTAGATACTACCGATATTCGCGAACATATTTGAAGGAAGCAATGCTGCAATACTTTAGCTTTAGAAGGATGACATTTCTCTAGTTCAGCTTGATTAATGAATTGCTATTTAAAAAACAAGACAAAAGCAAATATGCATCTAGTTTGTAAAAAAACAATTCTTTTCTACCACAAGTATAAGACAAAACTTTTCGTTTCTGTTTGTATTTTTTATTTGTAAAATATTTATAATCAGTGACTGGCAAAAGTAAAAAAATTATTTTGTTTGTTCGACAGATATACAAAGGGTACCACTATAAAAGTTTTGCAATATGATTTAACAAACGGACGCAGGAGGCTGCATGTTACTGCATGTTGAGACATGTCTATGGGTGCATAGTAGCCGCCAGCAGCACGTCTGTTAATTTAGTTGTTCATTCGTATTCACAGTGTAAAGTGCGGACTATGGCATCGTGGCCACGATAAGGGCAATTTTACGGTATAACTTTACGCGTGGTTTAAGCATAGACCAGTGCTTAGAAGAAATGATGGTTACATTAAAGAATGATTGTCCTCATCGTTAGACTATATGACTATATTCAGGTGGTACAGAGAATTCCAAAGGGGCAATGACACTCTGGAGGACGCTGAGAAGGAAGGAACGCCGCGAACGTCAGTAACAGAGGAAAACATTACTGCTGTGAGGAAAATGCTTAACGAGGACCGGACAGTGACAAACCAACAGATAAAGGAGACCTTACACCTTCATGCATCATTAATTCATTCAATTCTGCATGACCATTTACACGTAAGGAAACTTTGGTCTCTCTGGGTACCGCATGGTCTGATGGAAGAACAGAAGGCTCGTCGTGCCCAAATATGCTGAAAATGTTTGATAAGGGGCAGTCTCGGTATGTGAACAGCATCGTGGCAGGTGACTGAGGTGACGAAACTTGGCTTTATTATTACGATGTGCCGACCAAGGCTCAAAACCAAAATCCCGATCTGTATAGCTTTATTTTTCAAATCGAGCAGGATTGTGGAGGGTGTCGTTTTGTTGTTGTTGTTAATATACTCAGCGACATTAGAAGTGTTACACCCAGAAAAGATTATTTCCTCAACTTGATTTTTTGGCTATGAGGTATTCTTGCACAAAGAATGAAACGATAACATTCTCACTAAATTTTATCGACAAGTAATAGGAAAAAAAATTAATAATGTGTTGGGTGGCCCCGCAGCGGAATACACTCCAGTATATGTCGTGGATTACCTGTGGCAGAATCTGTTGCGGATGGTGAAAAGTAGATAATCTCCTCCATATCATATCCCACACATGTTCGATGGGATTTAAATCCGGTGAACAAGGTGGCCAATTTCGCGATAGGACAAACCGACATTTCGATAGGCAATAATTCTACTCCTGTCAAAGTCGCTAACATGGTGATAATTTGGACGTCTTCGAACTCGAGGCATTTTGGTATGCTTAACACTAGTATAAGAAACAGCAATAACTAAAAGTATCTGTACTGCTCAGCTTTCAAAAACTGCTTTCATCACAAAAACTAAGAGATAACATTTTAACAAACGTAAACAAAAACAAAGATAAAACGTTGACATTGTTGCCACAGCATGCTTTGAATATAGTCATTATGGTGCCAAAAAAAACAAGTTGAAGAAATTATTTTACTGGGTGTAACACTTCTAAGGTCACTTTTCATATTGCCTTCTTCCGATATTCATATTCGCACAATATCCGACTGAATTTCGCGAATGCGAATGTGAATATTCATTACATCACTAGTAGATCAGTATCGAGACTCGCAACACAATCAGTCCTATCTCGTGTTATCCAAGATTGCTAAAACTGTGTGAACAAATATTTTACTTGCTTCATGATCGCCACTTTCGAACATCAATCCCGATGTTTTCTCAGCGGGCTCTGTCAAATTGGCTTCGTGTTCCTGAACTGTTTTAAATTTTATTTCAACGGTTTAAGAAATGTTTTCAACTACGGCTTAATATAATAACCGCAAGAAAACGGTGAAAAATCTTTTAAGTGTCGATTGTTCCAAGAAATTAAGCTCAAAAATAGCGTGTAAAAAAATAATATTCAAAATTAAAGGTTGGGGTCGTTTTGGAATCCCAGCTAATGTACATAATGCTGCAAACACTGAATAAAATTTTAAAAACAACAGAGCTTTCTTGATCTGTAACCATAACCAACCGTATACAACGTTGTTTTAGGCTTTTAGCAATCACCAGTACGGTATACGTCTAGCCATTGGAGAAAGACAACGGAAAAGAAACAACCGAATATGGATCTGCTGTAAAACTCAGCATGTGGTCGTACATTACAAGTTTTTCAATATCCATATCCGCTTTTTTGATAAGAGCATTTCTTCATTATAATACTCGCATATCATATACCAAACTATTAAACCATACACAAAAACACCTACATCAAACAATTTACGTGGTAAACGAACCACGACCCAATAGTCTACGTGATTATGGGCGTTGCTAATTTGCCTTTTATTAACTTGGATAGAATAATATGTTAAATACATTAGCTTTATTATCACACGATGGATACAAGTACTAGTATTATATATGCAATATTCACACGTGTCGCAACTCAGCAATGTTCTCACCTGTTCGATAATTCTAAGCATAAACCAGATGAGTAAACATCTGTATTATAAAAGCTTTTGTTTCAATCAGGTAATATATGCGTTAGCGTTGCTCTCTCTAACCGTCTAAACTCTGGGCGCTGAAGAAAGACATTAAACGTAAACAGTGATCAGCACGTGAACAGATGCCTCGAAAGCATCCACGGATATACTCCAGTCACTTTAGGTCTAAACATCCTCAGCAGTGTATTTCTAGCGAATCCACAGACCCTTTTTCGTGTCATCTTGAGACTAGAAAAAGGATGACTGTTAAAATAAGTTACCTTGATCTTTCATGAGCTCCCAGTACAAAACATCATCGATATATTTTTGATGTAGGAACAACAAATTGGTTTAGAAAACATCCACTTTGAACCTAAATTGACTGGAGTAACATCGATCTACAGACAAATTCAAGGTCACTAGCAGTCGTCGGCGCTCTACGAATCTGCACAGGTTTGGACTTGTAAACGTGATTGTAGATGACACGACAGGCATCTAACAGTTAATTCACGCACAGGATTGCATTGCATACGCATTACGCATTCAGTAGCGTATACTCGTTTTTCGCGAGTGGAACGTTTTGTTTATATATTGCCTAAGATACGATGTCTGACACAGATACAGCCGACGAAGTGGTTGACATCAGCGCAACCCCACCCAAAAAAAGGGCTAAGAAGCTACATTTAAGTGCAAATGAAAAACAAATAATATTAAATATATACAAAAACCAAATTCAAGAAAAACCCGATTTGGTCGTGGACGAAGTTATATGTAAGGTAGCACATATTTCTGGAGTATGTCGGTCCAGTGTTTATAGGATCATTAAGGAATATAGGAGCACTCACTCACTTTCTGAGCCAAAACCGTATCCTGCAAGAAAAAGGATAACGGACGGAGTAGATGACTTTGACAGAACTGCCATCAGGAGGAAAGTGCATAATTTTTTCTTCCGAAATGAGATACCTACAGTAGATAAGATATTAAGATTAGTTAATGCTGATGAGGATCTTCCATCATTTAAAAGAACCACATTCCGAAAACTTTTGAAGGAACTTAATTTTCGATTCTTGAAACGGGGAAGAAACAGTATGTTAATAGAGAAAGAAGAAATTGTTGTGTGGAGAAGGGAATACCTTAGGAAGATTCGGAAGTTTCGCGATGAAAAAAGAAAAATTTACTATTTGGACGAAACGTGGGTGAATGCTGGACATACTCAAGCGAAAGTTTGGGTCGACAAATCAGTAACATCATCAAGGCAGGCTTTTCTAGACGGTCTTTCGGCTGGATTGAAAAATCCTGCAGGTAAGCTCCTTCATCTATCCGGCAATTTAATTTTGATAAATTCGGGCAAATAATATGCTGTGATAGCAGATAATGTGTGATATTCTCCAAAAATGGTGCATTCGCAGTGTAGTCATTAGGAAAAAAACTTCGACCCTCTTTTAAGCGTTATTTTGAAATTTATTATCATTTTTGGGTGCAGTCAATTTGCTTTGAATGGGTTTTGAGAAGTTGCAAACTTCAATTTTCTACGTTTTTCAGTTTTTGATCAGCATTCCGTGACTCTTAAATTCAGCTATATGAACTCAATTGCCTCATTCCTTCAAATTTAATCAATCCATAGTGTAAGGAATAATTTATTTCCAGGAAAAGGCAAACGGCTGATCATTTGTCACGTAGGTAGTGAAGACGGCTTTGTTCCCGAAGCCTTTGAATAAAAAAAGACAGGGGACTATCATGAGGAGATGGACGGCAATTCCTTTGAAAATTGGTTCTCCAAAATGTTACTAAAGCTGGAGAATAACGCTGTTATTGTACTGGATAATGCCCCGTACCATTCTAGAAAAATAGAAAAAATTCCCACAATGGCAACTAAAAAAGCAAACATACAACAATGGCTGGCCTCAAAACAGATCGATTTTGATGAAACAATTGTCAAGGGTGAATTGATAAGTATAGTCAATAGACATAAATACAAATACGATTTTAAAATGATCGACGAAATGGCCAACAAACAAAATAAAACTGTCTTGAGACTGCCACCCTACCATTGTGAGCTGAACCCTATTGAGCTGATTTGGGCCAACATAAAGCAATACGTGGCGTCGAATAATAATACTTATAAATTTTCTGATGTTAAAAATCTCTTTCACATCGCAGTCAATAGAGTTACGGCAGAGGAATGGAAAAACTGTATCCGCCACGTTCGGGAGAAGGTTGAGGTCAAAATGTGGGATTTGGACAATGTCATCGATACCCAAATTGAACCTCTAATAATTCATTTAAACGATTCAGAAGATTCAAGTTCCTCTTCTGAATGAGTGCGCGCAGCTTACTTACTAATAACTAAAAAGTGTAGTTAACTCATTTGTGAATCTCTAACTGAAATTTACTGTAAAAGATAATAATTATCTTGTATGAAATTTTTGATGACTACCCATAATATCTTGATGCGGTCCTGTAATGTCTCCTGCGCCTAAACACTCACTCACGAGCAATATGCGTGTATTTGTTTGGGTTTAGTTTCTTTCTTCAGCGCCTAGAGTATAGGTATACTATTCATCACGGTATCACGTGAAAATTGAAACACAACACATGAATCAAATTTCTTCGAAGCTGTAGGCATTTCAAAAACATTTAAGGAATGCAGTCAATATTATAAATTACAATGCCTGGCATTAGGAACATTAAAACATGAATCACAGTATTTCCGATTTCATTTGGATGTATTTGTGACATTTCGAGCATCAAGGGTTTTTAAGGACAAAAAAGAACGTAAGTTTTTACGGCTTGGCCCTCTTTGCGATGTATATCCCAATTACGAACATATCAAGGGGCATCCACCACGTTTATTTTGGAATCTTTGAATAATTTCCATATTCGAATTCATGAAACAGCCCCCTAGAGCCTCCTTTAAAGATCTTCCCAATAACCAAAAATATTGCTGGTAAGCGGAGATTCACCTCTTCCCTCTTTTATTTCCTATGGTGAGCGAGCTGTCAAAGGTCATACCTAAGTATTTAGCGTTTGGCTTCAATCGTATAACGGTATCTTAACGGGGCTCCTACAATCACGAGCACCATCTGCTGAGGTAACGGGGGGGGTGAAAAGGAAACGAGGGTGGGCTGGTCTTAGACGATCCTCGGCCCTACTTTAAAAGAGGAAAGGATGACTGCAGGTGCGTACCGAGGTAAATTTTTATAATAACAGAGTCGGATTTCGATTAGCGATCTAGCCTGTAAATCGTTTCCTATTTTGGTACTCAGCAAGTGATCATTTAGTATTGTTCTACCCTTGTTACTGTTCGTCGATATGGTGTTGTTCAATTGTTGTCCTGTACTCTTGTTGGTGTCATTGTTCTTGAGTGCCTTTTTTATCAAGGTTGATAATGGACAATAAAAGGTCATATGCGACAATTTTAATTACGAATGCAGTGAGTTTAATTCATGATAAGGACAACAATAGTGTGTAGCAGTTCAACTCTATAACCGCAAAATACATTGGGGTAAGCGAATAAATTATTGCAAGATGAGGTCATACCATGGAAGATGTACTGCAGCTGTAGTGAGCCACAATACCGAGCGGCCTGTCCATGTGTCCAAATACATTTGCGTTCTAAGCTTAGTCCAACCTCGCTTATCACTAGGATGGAACAAAGACTCAAACGCAAGAATCTTGAAAAGAAACTCAGACCAAAAATAGCTGATATAAAAATAACTAACAATTCGGATAGCAATTCCAAAGAAAATGAATAGTTTTATGACGAATTCTGTCAAAAACCTGACATGAACGACATTGGAGTTTGCTAAGCAAGAATTTTTAGGGAAACTTAGAAAAAGTGACGACGAGATTTTGCAGATCGAAGTCACCAAATCACAGGACTGTACTTTGTGGCGTCTTCATCGGAGGATAAGGTTGACAGCGTCTCGATTTGGTGAAGTTTGTAGAAGAAGGCAGACAACAAGCTGTAAAGTTTTAGTAAACTCGATCAGATACCCAACAGAGTTTTCTAGTAAAGCAATAAAAAAAGGCAATACAAAAATCATTGGACACGGCAGTTCAATCTTGTGGTTTGTTTATTGATCGCACACATCCATTTCTGGCAGCATCACCTCCATCTACCTATTACAGAAGACAAGACATGTACTTAATCTAGGTATAAGCCTACCTGTTTATTGCTTTACAAAAACTACCTAACTGTTTCCTCTTATTTTGACCGAATAAGCTATTTTTATGACCCTCGCTGAATTGTTACCATCTACCACATGGCCCTTGTAAACATAAATGTGTTTATTGACATGAATAAACGAATTTGAATTTGAGTTCTTGAATTTATTTTAGGAAAGATATAAAATTATTTGAAGTGGCGTCGCTTGGACTGGAAGGACGAAACAGTAGATGAATTTCGCCCAAAAACCGATTTGCACTTCACAGCTTACGTTTCATTTTTTTATTTCCAAATGAAACTCTTGCAGCGTGCTAAAAACAAAGTCCACAGGGTGCCAGCGATCCACTTTTCGATTTTATCCACTAGGATCTTTTTAAAATATCAAGAAGTTGAGCACAAATAGTAAGCATTTCAAACCACCATAATTCTTGCGCAGACAAAATTTTGTAAAACGCTCTGATAGCACCCTAGGCAATTATGTCCTGCTTATATCCAGAAACGGCGAAATGGGTACATTTCACGGGTCATGAAATTCAAATGAAAATGCAGGTATAAAATCTACCAAATTATCATTCTCTAAAACATATTTCCTTGACATATCGATAATTTTAAAGTTCCACGCTAAATTCCCCTATACTTGACTGGAGTGATATCCGAATTTATTCTTCCCTACTGTCGGTAGTTGCAGATCTGTTGGCTTTTGGTGTCAAACCTATAGAGCAGGTACCGATTTTTTCAAATCGTGAGCACATTATTCGTCGGATTTCCTGTAATCACTGGGATCAGAAGCTTCTTAATAATAGAACGTGCTTCACTGACTTAAACTCCCCCCCCCCCTTTTTTTAAGCAGTATGATTTTTTTATGTCAATCATCAGGAACCCCTGAAACGTCAAAAACGGAGTTTCAGCAATTGTTACTTTTTCTTTTTTGCCTATAGCACCGTTACCACTACTAAAACTACAAAGCTTTGGCATACCAGTAACCCCGTGTGGAAACTTCATAAAAATCCGAGCGGTAATTTCCAAGTTGATGATGAGTGATACACTTTTTCGTGATGTAGATGGCATCTGACTTAAAAAAACATAACATCTCATTTTAATTTTTCGCGATTACAATACTTCCTCGCCAATGGCGTAGGAAGTAAAACGTCTTTAAAATCAAGGAGTAGCAGCGATCGCGATTATGAGTACCTATTTGCAGAACGACTTATCTACGCGATATTATATGAAATAGGGCCACCAAATTATCTGAATACGTCCTTTCTTAGTCCGTACATTGCGCCGCAACGCTTGGGTTGGCAGCACGAAACAGTAGACAAAATACGTCCAAAATACGATTTGTAGAGGTTTGCGCGATTCGAAATTGACGCTTTATTTTTTTATATTTTTGGATGAAATTTTCAGTGTGCTGAAAACAAAACCCCACATGGTGCTATAGAGCCACTTTTTCATTTTTTTCCCTAGGTTCTTTTTAAAAAAATCGCGAAGTTGAACAGAAAAAGTGCGCACTTCAACCCATCATAAAACTTGTGCAAAAACAAAAATTCAAAAAGTGCTCCTATAACGCCCTGGGCAATTAGCTTCTCAAAATACTGTATGAATTTCATTCAAAAATACTGAAAAATTGAGTGTCAGTTTCGACGCAGCTGAACCCCTGTAAATGGCTTGAAACTCACTGCGTCGGAGCCGCCTTAATGCTTATTTGAGGAGAGCTTGTCAATCTTCGGTCCGTTAAGCAAACGTGGACCAAATCCAATTCGTTCGTTCTGACTCTAAGCCCAGTTCACTAAATTGTTGGTAAGCAGTCTATACTTTACTAACAGAACTTAGTCCATCTTTGTTAGCTGCAATTTAGTCTATATTATCTGCAAAAGCTACAACTGTTGATATAGGAAAGAACTTGAAGCGAAGAGTGCGAACAGAATCTATTTAGTTTCTACCAAAAATATCTTGATCAACGTTATGTGGATATTTGCAAAGATACCAACATAGAAGACCAGGTCCATATCATATGGACGCTCTTATACTGTGAACTGATAAAATTACTGTCAACGACCTGCTGCACCAGTGTTTTATACAATCAACATAGATCGTAATAGAATTTACCGCAGCCAACGATAGCAGGTAACTTGAAAATCAGTTTACCGTCAATCATTTTGGATATCTCGTTTATCGTTCGCTAGCTTCTGAGTTCAAATGTGATGACAAGAGGACACATTCAGCAAATAAATTCTCAAAATGAAATGTCCATAGAAGCTCACAGGGTTTTACACTTCGGATTACTGTCTTTATAGTTAAGGCATTTAAATACATGTGTTTAATGGAATCCTATCACAGGCTATTAGTGAAATTTGAGATTCTTTAAGATATGATTATATGCCCTCTCTCGCGATTGGTAGAACACTGGTTCCATATATCAGAATTTTTGATTTATGCTTGCTCCTGTCTTAGCCTTCGTATCTCGCCTTTATTCTGAATCAATTGTTCTACACATTCTCCCTTATAACCATTTAGGCTCATATAACCTATGCGTAGCATATAACTTCTCATAATTTTCATTATTACACGTTAAAATTATAATGAGAATATAAAATAGATAAAAAACAAACATAAAATCAATACTTCCATGGACAAGCATGCATGTTTTATGATTGTGCTTAGAATGTAATATTTTTCCGATTGCAGTGGTCATGGACAGCAACTCAGTGTCTCCAATGCCTGAATTAGCTCCAATCGCTGAATTCGACAAAACACCTCCATCTCCCCCAAACGAAGAAACTGCCGTTCCGATGGACGATCTACCCCCACCACCTACAGCCACTGTGCAAGAGGAGAAAGAGAAGGAGGCCCAGGAAGAAGCGTAAGTGTCAAAAATATACTCCGTCCATTTAAGAAAATGTTGATATGATCCTTTTAGAATAACTACTCGACTTTGCCTTCCTTCACCAAAAATGCCATCTTATCTTTAAATATACGAACTACTGAATATCGAAAAACTCGGAAAATAACAGTAGATACTACGTAAAAACAGTATAAAAATTATCGATGGCCAGTTTAGCTCATTTAGTTCAACAGAACCGAAATGGTATCAGATGGTAATTTTGAAATTTGTATGGTAATGACACAAATATGGTATTTTCAGATAAACTGGTTCCGCAGTTGAGCGTAATTTTCTTTTTGCTGTATGTGACTATTTGAAAAGTGATTGGTAATCTTCTGATATGCCATCAAAAAGAAAATGTATGAAAAAGCGTATCTGACTTAGAGGTACTTCACTGATATTTTCTGATAGCAGAGGACTTTGATGATCCTTCTAATAAGAAATCAGGACATAATAATACTCAAGGTGTTTCACTACCCGCGGTTTTGAACAGGAGATCAGCGCGCCTAATTCAACAAGCTGCTGGTGAATTTCAGCAGGAGGAACTTTTTTTGTGATTACAAACCGAATTACTGAGCGCACTTCACAATCGGCGAGTTTGCTGATTGACATGGTATCAATGCAATATAACCGCACAACCAACACCGACAGAGACGTGAAACGTAATGGCGGCGCAGTGAGAGACTGCCCAGAGTGTCTGAGGTTGAACCTACGTCACGTGGGCACGAGGCGCAATCGCTTCCTGCTTTAAAAATCGCCCTTGTTGTATCATTGCCTCCAAGGAAATTACGGTCATTCCAAAGCACCACGTTACGACTGCAATAAAAAACTCTGACAGACCGACTGAACCACTAAACCGTATTAAAATATATCGCGAAGTGGGCGCAATAATTATGGACATTCACTTTCTTGGTGGGTGTGCTAAACCGTACATTTAATATTTGATTCGTAAAAACGTGTAAGTATAACGGAATCGTTTGTAGTTTCTGGTTTGCGTGTTGTAAAACCAACGTGGCCAGCAGGACTGTTGGTGCCTGATGAACTATGAGTCACCGTCAAAGGTATTTCCATTCTTTTCTCTGTCTTCTAGACGCTTGGAGTCGATGACATTTAACTTATTGCCTGGCGTGCTAAGGTAACGCAATCTGGAAAATTGGGATGTTATCCATATTTGGGTCATTCTAGATAGCGATCGATGATTTTTTTACCTGTATACAGGAGTAGCCTGAAGACAAGTTCTAGATGCCAAAATACTGCCACTCCCAAGAGGAAAGTTGGTTGAAACGAGGTTTGAACTGATCCAAATCAATGGATACATTCTCTAGGATCAAATAAGTAGTGCTGGAAAATAGTATTGTGGAAGAAAAATGAATAAAAAAATGAGTAGTTTGGAAGCTTTTCTGCGGTTAGCATAACGGTAATGTTTGAAGTTTCTGATGAACTATGAGTCGAATTGGTGTATAAAAGGAAAAATGAATACAAGCGAGTAGTTTAGAAGCATTTCTACGGTTAGCAGAGGGAGGTATGCTGAGGTAGCACTTCTGAAAGCGAGAGACTCCATCACAAGTGGGACGGGGGGTGACGGGCTTCCAAATCCGATGTTGGCGAATTGGCATCAAGTAGGTCGACGTTTTTGTTATACGACGGTTATTATTCTCAGCCTCACAACTCGCAAGACAGTATGTCGAATCCATTTTTATGAAGGTAAAGAAACTATTTTCCGTTTGAAAGAAATTCTACTCCATCAGCCTAAACTAAAATCATTGATCCTACCAGAAAGAATCTGCAAAGATATGTATCATGGCGCAGCGTCAAAAACTAATACGTAACCGACCACCGTCTTAAGATGACTGCATTGCCATCTCTCTCGACTTTTTCCGTCATTTAAGGATTTCTTTTTTCTTCATTGACTAATTCAGAGGATACAAAATCTAACGAATAATTACGAGGTTGGTTGAGGGCTGATCTGGAAGGTTTATGTTGTATTTAAGAATAACCAAATGAACATGAAGTTGTTTTTATTACTTCTAAAGAAAGTTGTAAGTAAACGTCCAAATACAGCATACAGTTGGTCATTTTCTTGGGGAATCAATGTCTAAATCCAATCCATCTAATATAGTTCCCAGCTTCTTACTTTAAAACAAAAAATACACAACGTGCTAACAAATCTTTATCTATTTACAGTATTTTGAGTGCCATAGATAATTGGCTGGCATATCCGTAACACATACATAGATCATTCCCCTGAAAAGGTTAACGGGTCGGACGTTCTTGTCGTAGCTGATTTATCAGTATCATTCCTATCACGATAGAGATTCCAAAAAGACATAGACAACAAGCCGACGGTAACAAGATTTATGGTAAACCGAGCTGCACACTATGTAAAGCCCGACCAGGCGCTTCCAATGCAATAAAAGGAATTAATTTCGATAGTTCAAAGGAGGGCTTAACCGCAATACATTGTTAGTACTCGTATTCGTACAGCCAGCACAGCGCTGGGCAGAACGGTGCATGAAAAATTATCCTAAAACCTCGCCAGAAGTTGATAAAGGGCTCTTTGTTAGTTCGCCTCTCGGTGAACTTGCTCAAGTGTCATTGACCTAACGGAACTTGGACTTGTGGCTGACTCCAGAGTTATGTTAAAGTATGAAATAACTTATTCAAAATTATTGCTGGCGCTCAGTACAAAGACTATGTGTTCTTTTTTTGGGGGGGGGGGATTTAATGCGCATAAAAAGGTGACTAAAGACGAAAAAGACGTATCTACAAGGTTAAGTTAGGTTGTGAGTAGGTCAATCAAGATCATCCACTGCTACTCTCTGGTCTATTGTGGTTCACACCTATTTATATTTGTATTTCTCCCAGTAACTCCGACCGTAAGGCAATACATCAGTTTATTTGAAGAAATATCTTCCACGTCTTCTAATTTGAGGACGAATCATCCGTGTGTATATTGTACCTGATCCTGACAATTGTGTTACTAAACAATATCCATCCGTTTGTATTTCGCTCTATATACCACAACATCTCCCTTGTTATGGTTGGCTAGTTACAAAACGCAAGATACAAAGTATTAATTTTTTGCCTTAAAGAACTGTAAATGAAAAAAAATATATTTTTTTCTTCATCTATTCAGATTCAATTTTCTTCAAAGGTTACCGTTCCGACCAAAAAGAATGTTCAAAAAATGTAATGCCTTATTTTGAGATATATGGTGTTTTGCTTCAATATCTACGGAACTTGATCTTTATAGTATTCGCCAGATATTTTTAATTGTTCCTTGGACATAACTTCATTCATTTCAATAGTTTTTGTCACTAACGTCCGTCGGACAGTCTGTCAATTTGTTGTCTATTCATCATTGAGTGATCCATCTTTTGATCGCTGCAATTCCTACAAAATTTTGATCAGGTGACCAATCACGAGTGAGAACGAAAAAGCCTCGACTTACTCAAACGTATGTCAATATAGTGATTATATAAAAGTTTTATCCCTTCATAACTGGACGACCCTGACCAATGAACAATACTGCAACCTGTAGCTATATAACTGTGTCACTATTTCCTCTACGTATCGATTACAATTAATTTCATAAATAGGAATGACCCGTTCCGCATCCCCTCGCTAACAAATAGACAACTGAGTATTACCTGTTGTAAAAGGTTAGCTAGTATATACTTAAATCGTTTCATAATCAATTTTATGCTGGAACCATAGCATTATGAATTTGAAGGTTCACGTACTTGAAAATGTATGTACTATGACAACATGTTGATGTATGTTAAAGGCTGTATAGATGAGACAAAAAGTTCTAAAAAGCGAATTTTTGGATCCATATGAAATACCTATTAGGTTGAACAACTGACAGCGCCACTTCCCTTGTCGCGACTTTTCTTTCTAACTTTACTAACAAAATATATTTTGCATAATTCATTTTTATAGGTATAATAGCTGATTTATGATTTAGCATCATTTCTGCTTCTATTTTCAACATTTTTCTAGTGAAATTCACGACAAAACCCTTAAAAATACTTTGAATTTTAGAATACCCCAACCCTATAATGCTTTTAGTCTCTATAATAGTATTCCTGTTGACTGTAAAACATAAAACATAAAACAGAGCTCTACGTTATAATTCTTCTTTTCTTTGTTCAATTTATGTTAATAATACATATGTAAGTCTGGTTATGTGTTTGTACGCATTTAAATGAGCAGTTTGATATTTGATTTAACTAGTTTGAATACTGATGTGAAATTGCAATAGTAAAACCTTATTGTTGTGTATCTCTTTTACCATCTTTATTTTGTATTCATATGGTTAAGTGTAATAATAGCTTTAGCTATTAAATAGCATAGTTAAAGTTCATATTAGTATTTTCAGTTTGTGATAATAAGATATTCAAGAAAAACTGGAATATTCGCGCGATTTTGAAAGAAGAAAGTGCCTCTACCCACTCTTCCTTAGTAGTTTTATATAAATAACGATTCCTGAACTCCTCCTCGGCAGGATCATTATTGAAACATTTCTAGCTATAAATATCTGCAAACTCCTAAATAAATACCAAATTAATAAATGACTTAAATTTAAGTACCGAAAAAAGCATTTGCCTTTACGCAACGAAGCAAAAATGTTACTAAAATAAGTAATTGTAATTCAAACTTTTATTTGACTTAATTCATTTCTTTATGTGTTTTAGATGTACTTATTTATTTTACTTCAATATTATATATGAACATTTCAGTAAACCAAAGAGCATCAAATCAAATCTAAGTTCAAGATTTCATTAATTAATTCCGTACCTCCAAATGCAAAATTTCCCACATGCGCCACTTATAACCGATATTGTGAGCATCATATTCTTTGATGAAAACCAAATTTGGTTATAGTCAAACAAAAAAACCATTTGCGGATTTTGAAGTGAAAATAATTGTCTTGAGATTGTTGCGATTGTTCTCAAAAACACTATTATTAAAGCTTTGCAA